TTTTGTATGACAAATGCAAAAGAGAGAATTGAAATAGTGCTTCAACATTGACTTCAGTGCCTAAGAAACAAACACAGACCATGAACGATAAACAAAAGTATCATTTTATTTAAAACATCAGCTCTAAATAAAAACAGCACCTTTTGGGAATATATGCCCAGTCTCCACCTCCCTAGGTAAACAGAGTTATCTTCTTTATCTTCTCTACCAGCTGTGTGACCACAATTATGCTTTAGTTTTGCAAGAATCATTGAATCAGATTAGAACAATCGCAATTAGCATTAGGATTTGACGGTCCAATCAGATTCAATGATTCATGCTAAACTGAAGCCACAAGGGGGTCGCCAGACTCAGAACGGCTGGATGAACAGGGGAAAGGTAAAACTTAAATTGTTTAACTCAAAGGAAAATTAACATGATGGTGGTGTGTCACTTTGATCTCTTAGTATAGACTTCCAACAAACAAAACATGGCTGTGTTCAACAGCAGCCAGCTGGTTATAAAATATAACTTGAACCATATAAACAATACTGCACAATCCAAATAAAAGGATATTACCAAGTGTATTTTTTCCTGAAAGAAATGTAAGAAGGAAAATAAAAATTAGAAGCTGTTAAAGGAAACGAAAGTCAAGTCCAATTGATGCTACAGGTTATTTCCTACTAAAGGAAGAGCTCTTCACAGAAAGCAAAGGTTATTGGGGGTCAGGCAAGGGGAATGACCATAGTATATAATAAAAGTTAAGGCAATAAAAAAAAACAAAAAAAAAATATAATAGTTGACATCCCTTAGGCACAAGGACCTAGAAGAACCCCAGCGACCCAGCCCCCGCCTTTTGGATACTGTTAGTAGAGTTGTTGGATTTTCATTAAAGTGAATTAGAATATATTAAATGTTTAGACAGCTTTGGGTTAACCTACGTGTGTGATGGGATGTGATGGACGCATCAGCAGCATTCTCCCATCCCCCAGCCATGAAACACAGGAAGTTAAATTAAGGCAAGAACGAAGAGAACATCTGTTTAGAGTAGCCTCAGGCTTACTTTGAAAGGGGCTACTATTTGTCCTGAAACAGAGAAGGTATTGTCTTCACCTAAGGATGGTGGGACATATGGTCACATATGTCTTCAATTATCATGGTATAAGACCAGAGTTCTTTGTCCATTTCTTTGTCACTCTGCTGCTACATCTAGCAGAGACCCAGACTGGTGCAGTCTGTAACTTGTCTGTTTGTGCTGATGTCCAGATAACCTGTAGTTTTGAACCAGCGGCTGACAACATGTATTAAAAAGATTATGTTGTTGAAATGTGAGTAGTTTTTTCACATATTTTGGTCCTTCGAGCCGGATGCCAACATGCTTTTCTGCGGAGCTGAGGATGCCTCAAACAAGCAGCGGTGAGACCTTCTTCATTCAGAACTGCTTTGAGGACTCCATCTTTGAGGCATGGCCAGTCTCCGGATTGAAGTTGACGGCAGAACTAGAGTTTCTGGACATCCACATGGACAAGGTAAAACAAATTTTTTCTAAAAAAAAGAAACTAAATTTAAATCGTCTTTGAAGGCAGGATATCCAATTTATCTCCTCAAGAAGCATTGGGGCAGTGAGATATCACGCACTTCTAAGAAAGTGGAGAATTTAAACTTCTATCCACTGGGACTTTTGAAGTCGGGGACTCAAAAAAGAGGCCGCGGATAACGAGGCTTATCCTTTTAATAGTCGAGGGCTATTTCTTAGGCCTAGGATAACGGGGTTTATCCTTCTAATAGTTGGGGAGCTATTACAAATTCAGCACTATGGACGCATACGTGTAGTTGGAAAACAAGATCTGGCCATTTGAGGGAAAAATGGAACATTTTGAGAGTGGTGATTTATTCTTCAGCCGATTAGTGACTTTTTGGTAGAACTTTGTGGTAGCCTGCATAATAAGACAACAATTTTTCTAAAAAATAATTAAAAAGGGGTGGAACCAGTGATAAACATTTTACTGGTGAAAACATTTGGTAATGAGATTAGAGAGTCATAGATAGATTTGAATTGACTTGAGCTGTGAAATTTTTGTGATTGGACAATTTTAAAGTTACAACATACAGTACAAGCTCAAAAGGATTAGGCTGAAACTGAATTAGATTGATGATAGATAAGACTCAAAGTTAGCTCAGATTTTTGATTTTTGTTGGCTTATGATCACAAAAGCTGGTATTTTGTGCACACAAGTAGACTTTTATGTTAATTTTTGGGTTTGATTTGGAGTTTTTGTTTGTTTTGTGAGTAAATGTCTTTATGTGTAAGATTTAACAGACTAACATCTCCTCTTATGTGAGTAGTATTTGTTTGTTTGTTACTTCAGGTTTTGCATGTAAGTGTTTGTCTTCTGTGTCTAGGACTTAACTGACTGAACTAACGGACTATAAAATAGGAATAAACATCAGGACAAAAATATTATTTCACAAATAATATGAAACAATATTAGGGTAAAATCAACAGAATTGTCAACTAATATTTTGTTCTGTCTCTGAGTTTGTTTCTGTCTCAGCTGAGAGAGGGACGTCTGGGGACAGTGTTTGGTTGTTCCCGGCACAGCATCGGTCACATGCTTCACCTCACTCCAACCAGAGAGACAGATCTAAGAGCAGGAGTAACTCAGAGGAGCAGGAGGAGGGGGAGAAGCATCAGCAGGAGTGCTGTGGTTGGGAACGACGAATCAGACGCCTAAAAAGGTTCTCTCTGACTGATGCTGACTCAGAACAATCAGATAAGTGGAAAACACTCTGAAAATAAGCAGTTTAATTTTTCAGATTTGAATAATAATTATGTTTAGTTTCATTTGAAAGGTTTAAATTCAACAGTAAGGGAAGTTACTGTAGCATGTTTAATGGTTTCATCAAAGAAATGCAAATCTGTTTGATTCTGAATATAACTAGTTATACATTATTTAAATAGTTCATTGTGATGTTTTCAGTTCTGAGACAAGAAAATTACAGTAATAGGACTGTCTTCAGCAACAGTTTTCATCAACTGCTAAGGTTTTCTTTTGGGGTTTACTGAACTAAGGCTGAAATGTATTAACAAATGTGTACTTTGTGTGTTTTGTTTGAGGGAAACACCTAAAACACCACTTTTGATGCTCAAAAGCTCAGAGTTCATTCCTGTGAAGGAGACGCCCACTCCCACCCCCACCAATCGTCAACCAGCAAACCAGCAGGCCAAACCAAGCCAAACCAAGCCAAACCAGCAGACCAAACCAAGGCTAAATGCTGCAACGACAGAAGCAATGATGCAAAGGGTCATCCAGAGGTCAGACTCAAATCAACCACTTGACTCTGTGTGTTTTTGGGACATTTTGCAGATTTCCAAAAAATCTGAAAGACTGGGTTGACCGAAGACATCACCTTTGTGCAAAGATCTGAGGACTGGAGGTTTCCAGTTTTTGCTGTCGGTTCTAAAGTGTGTGAACAGGACAGAGGCTTCTGGACATGATGGGGCTGTGCTGGATGGGGCTGGACATTGCTGGCTGCAGAAGACATTGGGGTGTGGAGGCGTTTCTACAACAGGCGTTACTGGACAATAGGCTTTTTGGTGTTGTGTTTAATTTGCTAACCAAAGTTGACACATTTCAAGTTAATACATTTCAGGTTAAAACATTCCAGTTTAATACATTTCAAATGAACGTTTAGGTTATACATTTTGATGCTGCATTAATTTACATGAGTAAATTGGGTATTTGTGTCTTTTTCATTTCATGCACATGAATAATTAGGAATTATGTTTAGTTATTGAGCCATTTTTAATGTCTCAAACAGGGGGGAGATATGGTTTATAGGGGAGTAATTCTATACATATGAAATGATCTCTAAAAAACTTTTTTGAGTTCTTTTCTGTGTGTGTTTCTGTAACCAATGTGATTTTTATAAGACACATGTCGAGAGGGGTCTCTAAGTTGAGTCGACGCAACTTGGATTCAAATGTAATACTGTGTTTGTATTAATTTCATTGTGTTCCATCTTTAAGTTGGTTTACTAAACATTGAATGTGATTAATTCTTTTAATGAAAAACAGGAGGGGAATGTTAGTAGAGTTGTTGGATTTTCATTAAAGTGAATTAGAATATATTAAAAGTTTAGACAGCTTTGGGTTAACCTACGTGTGTGATGGGATGTGATGGACGCATCAGCAGCATTCTCCCATCCCCCAGCCATGAAACACAGGAAGTTAAATTAAGGCAAGAACGAAGAGAACATCTGTTTAGAGTAGCCTCAGGCTTACTTTGAAAGGGGCTACTGTTTGTCCTGAAACAGAGAAGGTATTGTCTTCACCTAAGGATGGTGGGACATATGGTCACATATGTCTTCAATTATCATGGTATAAGACCAGAGTTCTTTGTCCATTTCTTTGTCACTCTGCTGCTACATCTAGAGACTGGTGCAGTCTGTAACTTGTCTGTTTGTGCTGATGTCCAGATAACCTGTAGTTTTGAACCAGCGGCTGACAACATGTATTAAAGAGATTATGTTGTTGAAATGTGAGTAGTTTTTTCACAGATACATATAGTGTATCCTCCTCTCCAGGACCTCTGGAAGCTGAGGAGTGTCCTCTGTATTTAGAACACACCCCTCTCTTTAAGAGGGGACACCACCTTGGTCTGCCAATCTAGAGGAACTGCCCAGATGTTCAATGTTGCAGAGGCATGTCTGCTCATATTGAATGGAACCTCCAAAACTGGAAAATCAAAAATAGATTTTCTACTCCATTTTCTATTAATTTCACTTCATTTCCTCACATTCTTCTGGAGGTCTAAAGTCATTGCATATCTTAGCATTATCAAATACCCAAGCACTGGTCTTACCTTCAGATTCAGGTGTAGTGCCTCCTGCTGTGGATGTCACTTCAGATAGTATTTCTAATGAAAACAAAATAGGACTCATCAGGAGTGTATTGTCTATAGAACCTGTCACTAGCTGCTGTTGCCCAAGATGCTGAGAGAGCACCCAGTACAAACATATTACTTACTGAAGTCCTCAGAGTTCTGCGACAGCTCCACGATGGGACAGCCTGAGGATTGACCCAGACTTTCCATGTCCTCAAGTTGTGGTTCCTTAGCCTCTGTGCTGCTGTCCTCAGAGTCACTGCCACTGTCCTTAGCTTCACTGTCACTGAATGATATCTCATCTGGACAAAAAGGGAATCAGACAAAAGCAACAGGCACACTTTACTGATGAATCAAAGATGGGACAGAACAACGCCTGATTCTCTGAATTAAGCATATTTTTCCCCCAATATCGGTGGCCTTGGAAGAACTGATGCTTTGTAATAGGCAAAGTGTATTCCACTTGTTGAGATTTATACTATCTTCTATTTTCTCACTTTGAATCAGTAAAACTGACTAAAAAGCAAATGCATGTGTTCCCCACATCATCAGCAGGGGGCCTTTGTGTGTGGAGTTTGCATATTCTCCCCGTGTTCCTTTTGGTAGCTAATGTAAGCTACTCTAACAAAAACATGCACCAGTCTGTACCCGGGCACCCCTCCCCCTGGCCAGCCGGGGCGCCCGAGGAGGCGGGGAGGATCTGCCTGGAATAACGTGATCCTTCCACACGGCACGTCCAGCTGTGAAAACTCTGCCCCCTCGGGTGGAAAGAAGGATCTGCTTCAGTGCAATGCCCAGGACTATACATTAGGTAGGAGCACCGGGTGGTAAAAATGGAAAAAAAACCTTGCGAAAAACATTTTTGAAAAAAACCCACAAAAAACGCTAATACATGTGTTCTTTTTGAAAGCAAGATAAAAAAAATTAAAGAAAAACCAGAATCCTAAGGTTACATACATTGAAGTACTCACCTTCAATCTGAATTTCATCCAGGGACTTCCCTTGCAGGCCAGAAAGATTTCCTTTTTCCATGGACAATAGCAATTTGGAAATCTTTGCCAACTGCATGGTTGGGACTGGCAACCTATAGAAGTCCCGATGGACACGGATGTCGTGTCCAAGGAAATCTGCAACCTGGTCAAGTTCATTGTTTTTCAGATTCAGGATCTGAGAGAGTGTTGCAACGTGCTTCCTCAGCTGGGTGGACCTGAGGAGCTCTGGGTGCTTTGCTCCACACTGGCTTGCATAAACCCGCAGGCAGTCCTGTCCTCTGTAGTGGCTCAGCGCTTGAGGTCTTCCAAACAAGAAAATATTGTTGACATGTACGCCGCATTCCTTTCTTTTACTTGTCAGTAGTGACAGGGCATCCACCATACACGGTGTAAGAAGAACAACCACCTTCCTCCCCCTCTTCCCAACAATTTCCACTCTAGTGAAGTAGCTGCACAGCTTCTGCTCCAGCTTGGACAGGGCCATGGCAACATCTTGGTGAAGCTTTGTTCTGTCCCGTTCCTCAAAACTTTTGAGAAGCATTTTTGACACTTCCCCAGCAAGTCTACGATTGAATAGAATGATTTGAGCTAAAATAACTTTACTAAGCTCAGCATAGGTCTTGGATGTAGCTTCCTCCGTCAAGCTGCCAACAGCAGCGTCTGCAGACTTCTGCAGGTACTGGTGTAGTGTCCGAACGTCCTCTGTGAAGGGCAGTGTTGATGGTTTATTATACTTCAGCGTACTCAGCGTATTCAGAGCACTATGGGACACCAGCTCACACCACTTGGAGGTGTACAGTTTACTGAATGTTTCAGCTGACTTAACCAGCCTGTCATCCTCTGCCATCAGAGCTCGACACTGAATGATGTCGCAGATCTTGTTTAGTGTGTGCCCCAGCTTCAAAGCCAGGCTTGGTGTACGATAGGACAGCTTTTCTTCATCAAAGCCAGCAACTTTCTGAACTGCCTGAACAACATTCTGAAAGTTACATGGCTTGATAGCTTCCTCCAGGCTGTGTATTGAGAAGTCGTGGCGCAGACAGACTAGCAGCCTTCCCACTTCACGGAGCTTCTGTCGCATGTACTCATGTTTTGTGGGGTCTTGTCCGTGTCTGTTGTAAAGTGACTGGGCAAAGTGCACAATGGAGAGGTCATTTCTCAAAGTCAGGCCAATTTCATCCACCTTTATGGAGCTCAGAATCTTCCACATTCCACTTGAAAAGTGTTGGCTGAAAACGGCCTCCTGGGCTGTAGCCAAAGCCAGCACTCTTGTTCTCCCGGTCCGTTCCTCAGAATCCTTGTTGTCTGGCCTACAGGGACATCGTCGCACATGTCTCCATAGATCTTTACGGACATATAAACCAAGACAGTGCATACAGTGCACCAAAGTTCCAGCCACAGCAGCAGCTTTTGGCCTTCTCTTCATTTTCAATTGACCCGTTTCACCTTGAAGAATGGCAGTGTTATGTTTAAAATTCCCCTTATTTCGCATTTTTTCAAACAACACTTTGCGTTCCTTTGACTTCTCTGGGAGATAAAATGCATAGGATACTTCTGGGTGTGACATGTGAGTTTTTAGGTGTCGAGTCAGTCTACTTTGTGGCTTACCACAAATGAAACAGTAGTTCCGAATGGTCAAGCTGGAACGCGTGGAGGTACACCTGCGTTTGCTCTTAAGTTGCCCATTTGAAGAGTATTGTTTAGAAGCTGCTGAATCTGATGTTTCATCAGCACCAACATCCATATGTCCAGCAGTCGAGTCTGGGTCAACAACAGCATCATCTATGTCATCAGCAAGAGGCTGCAAACATTATGATGTACCAGCTTCATCTGGAATACTTGTGTTGTCACTGGGTAACTCTTGTATTATTCGACTTGAATGCATTTTTGACTGTTGAGGCACCAAGGGTATACTTGAATCAGAATCGGAATCCCCGGACTCAGAGTCCGGCACATACTCGCTTCCAGAGCTCATAGAATCAATGAGGTCTGATGAGTCTTGACCCATCATCCGTCTGTAGCAGGTTAGATGCCAGAGTCCTGGACAATCTGAAACAGATTTAGATCAGTTTGGTCTCAACTCCAAGTCTGTTTAAGAATGATTTTACACATTTAGGTCCACCCGGGCACAGCCGCCAAAGTGAACAGTACACAACATTTAATTTTTCGGTTTCACATATGCTTTTTTTGTCACCGCGCCAAGCAGCCACACTACAGAGTGGAGCGTTGCGTATCCATGGTAACACAGGAGGTCAAGTGTGACCTGTGGCCATTTGCATCATGTGTCTTTTGGGGTTCAGACCCAATCTACTCAGTCAAGACAAGGACTTTCCATAGGCTGTGCACTCAATATATACATTTTACCTTTGCATTTGAACCCCATCCATTTCAAAGAGGCGAAAGGTCCCAGGCAGTGAATGCATTTGTCAAAAGCAGACATATCGCCACACACCAAACGGTGTTTAGGACACTGACAGGAGAAAATAAAACACTTGAGAAATTAAAGTGACAACAAATATGAACAACCAAGCAATTCATTCAACACCTCAGACTTACCTGCTCAGCATCACCAGCATCTTTGGGGAGTATTTCCGAGGCAGGTTGCTGTGAGGAGACAAGAAGTAAACATCAGAGGAAGCGTGACTTTCAGACCAATACATACATTGGGCTACTGTGTCAGTACAAACCACCATGTATGCAGGTGATATCACACACACTGATTGATGTTAGAATGAACTATGAGACTCACTGAACACCTTCAGGAAATGTGTCTGTTCAAACCACCATGTATGCAGGTGATATCACACACACACACACACACGGATTGACGTTAGCAAAGTATCATAACCAATCTCAATACTACAAACTCACCTCTACAGAACTGCACTGGGGCTCAAATTCCAGACTCTGCTCACTCTGGCTCACAGATATGGAAGAGTGCCCTCTCTCCAAGCACTAAAATACAGGACAGTTGGGAGAGAAACCAATGTAGACCAGAACAATCAGGAGAAAATGCACTGAACTAGTAGAACTAAGAATGAAATCTGAGACTCACTGAACAGTTTTAATTCCCAGTGTAGCCCTTGTAGGGTGTTTGGGTCACTGGGACCATTTTTATCAACACTGAAGACTGGTGCCACAGACCCAAAAGCCCTACAAGGTTTAAGATGACCAAGCAATTCATTCGACACTCAGACTTACCTGCTCAGCATCACCAGCATCTCTGGGGAGTATTTCCGAGGCAGGTTGCTGTGAGGAGACAGGAAGTATAAACATCAGAGGAAGCGTGACTTTCAGACCAATACATACATTGGGCTACTGTGTCAGTACAAACCACCATGTACGCAGGTGATATCACACACACACACATACTCCGAATGAGACTCAAAAAGACTGAAAGCTTCCACCTGATGTGTCCACATAAACACCTTCAGGTAATGCGTCAGTACAAGCCACCATGTACGCAGGTGATATCACTCACACACACACACGGATTGAAGTTAGCAAACTTCATCATAAACAATTGCAACACTACCGACTCATCTCTACAGAACTGCAATGGGGCTCAAATTCCGTACTCTGCTCACTCTGGCTCACAGATATGGAAGAGTGCCCACTCTCCAAGCACTAAAATACAGGACAGTTGGGAGAGAAACCAAGGTAGACCAGAACAATCAGGAGAAAATGGGGGTTTGATCACAACAGCACTGAACTAGTAGAAATAAGAATGAAACATGACTCACTGAACACATTCTGGTAATGTTTTCAGCACATACCACCATGTACGCGAGTGATATCACACACACACCAAGTTAGCCAAGTTCACAGCCATGTCATGCTTTTAACAGATGAAAATTGAATGACATAATGTTAACTCTTAAAATCCAAATATAGAACAAATAAATTGAACCTTCATTTACCTTCTGTGTCAGTACCTCCACGTGTGCTGTAGACAGACATTCCTTAGTGGCGAGTTTGGATGTGGAGGGTGTGTAATCCCGGTGGTCATTTGGAGACTTCATACCAGATTCCTAAAAGTTAAATTAACATACAAATGAATGTAAAAGTCCATCAATATATTTTCACCTTGACCCCATCAATAATCATTAGAGCCAGCATTAATACCCACCTCGCCTCTCCATGGCCAGTCTGAGTCACCATAATTATATGTGATCTCGTCTCCTGGGTTAATGTGACGGGGGGCTTTCCTTGTATGCTTAAATATTTAATTTTGGCATTTGGGTTGATATGGTCATCGTTAACCAGTCTGCCAAGCGAACCATCTTCTTTTGCTGCATCAACACTTCATAAAGAATACCAAAAATTATTACATGCCTGGCAATGCATATTTTTCTGACTTGAGCCCATTTAGGTTTTAATCATCAAAAAAGGCAACGTGTCTCACCAATGCAATCAAAGCATCAGCTTTAATACGCACCACCAAAGTTTTCCATCAAAGCGAAACTCAAACAAAAAATGTTTCAGGGCATCATGGTAAACCCGCACTCTTCGCTCACACGCCTGTTTGCTGATAAGTTCACCACGATATTCCAAAAGGAAGTCTCCTTTCTCAAATAGCGCACAAGCGAAGACACCCCTCCCTGGTCAAGACATAAAAAAAGTGATGAATAGTCAGGCAAAATGCTCAATTTTCAGATAACAGTCATTGTGAGATGTAGCTTACCCTTGAAATCACTGATGAATTTGACATCAAGTCCTGCTTTGTCTTTTCCAGTTTCAATGTGAAACCTTGCATCTTGCTTTGAATTTAAATTCCTCCGTCTCTGCATCCTTTTAGCGTTTAAAAGCCTAGATACCCAGAGATAAGAGTCAAATTTATCATGGATATATCGTGGATTGCAAAACATATGAACAAACATGAGTTTGAAACCCCTGCAGTGATAACAGAATGTAAACTTAAATCTTGATGAAAGAAATAAAGCAAACAGACAAGTAGTTGCATTCAAAAACATGATTTAACATTTTGTAGTGATTCTTATTCTATTCTGCAAAATGAATCATAAAGGGCCATCAATTATACAGCTGCTCAACAAAAAGTAACCCTCTTATTCACATTTATTTTGTTAAGCCCAGTTGTCAGTACCAGAAAGTCAAGGCTTCTGATCTCTCTCTACACAGATTTTAAACATGGACAAGCATGTTTACTATTCTCTGGATCTGACATTTGATATAATATCTATAGCTATAATATCCCTAACATACATCACATTTATCATATATCAGAATATCCTATTACTGTTCAGCCCACAATGAATATAAATACAGGTCAACCCATGTGTCTTCTATCACTTGTATGAAGTTTACAGCAAAAAAGCGCATGAAAATTAAAAGTAAATTAAGTATTCAGTGAGTTATCAGCACTAACACTTCACTGCGCCTGACATCTCCAAGATGGCGGCCCCGCCAGCTAGAAGAGCTAACGCTAGTTAGCATCGAGCATTTCACCATTGTGTGATGCTGGTGACATGAAACTGGACTGCATTTACGGTGTTGCATTTCACACGTAGACAAAATCTTGCCATTCTGGCATAAACACCTCATAAAACAACTAAGCTGATATCCGGTTATTTTCTGAACCATACGTTTGGCACGTGTTTAGCCAAACGTGCTAACCAGAAGAGCGCAACTTGAGCATGTGCGGGCTGAGGAGAGGCTCTGTGGCCGCATTCCCGGTGACTGTTTGGAATACAGGTAAGATATTCATTTGATTAGTTTAAGATCTGCACTAAACAGGCATTGTTTGAAGGGAATGTGTTTGCCAAGATGATTACTTGTCGGTTTTGTATTTTGTATTGATCAGAAAGGGAAAAGGCTCCTGCACTACATGAACACCGTGTGCAAATACAAATGTAAAAGGTTCCTTGAGGATCTGACAAAGTATAAAGTCTTGAGAGGACAGCTGAGTGGATGCTCTGAGGACACAAAAGACAAGGTGCTTCTGCTGTCCTACTTCGAGGAGAGAGAGATGTCATGCCTGCAGGAGAAGTGCCGATGGAGCAAGTTCCCATGACTCCTACCATCATTGTGTGTGTGGTGAGAACTTTCTTTTATTCTTTTGCTTTAATTTGTCCATTCTTTGAACCCATTTCTATATTGATGATAAGGAGTTAATGCTCTGCCTGGTGAAATGTAATTTTACTTGTATTTAACTCGTTTTGTTTTGTAAATTCAGGAGTTTTCCTTCAGGAGGAGACACGGGAGAGACACATTTATTTCACAGTCAAAATCATGAAACGACAAAGTATTCTAAGTAATGCATCATATTTAGATGTTTTATTTTTTTTAACAGATCTTTCTCAAATGGAAATGGACACCATCACTTTCAATTGACCTCAACCCATAGTCTCCTCCTAAAGGAGAATCCTTTGTGGCAGTCACAAGGAGATCCAATCAGGACATGTGTGAGAAGGACACAGCAAAAGAGGTCCTGCTGCATTTTGTATCATAAGATTTTTGGTGCAATTGTAGATTGTCATTTTACATTTTCCACGTGTTTGTAGATGGTGGAACTGCAGGAAAACCCTGGTGACCGAGAGATCCTTAAAGATTATAATTCTGTGAGATCACTAAGTCACCGCTCTCGAAGACAACTTGTCGACCTTCTCGTCAGTGACATGAGTGAAACACATGGGTATGTTGTATCCCTCAGTTATTACTCAAAAGTTCCTTCTTATAAGTGGAAGGATATTTACTCAAAATAAAATGAAAATCACTTGAAAGACCTTTCACAATAATCACATAACAATTCAGTTTCTCTCAGCACTGTTATTGATTCCCCATTGTAAGATAAATAGTACTTATCTCTTTTATAAATGACCTAGGTAGATGTTCTCCTGTAGATTATCTCTTGGTTAGGTCCCCGTGAAAATATGTACTTGTAGATACTATTAATTTAGCCTTTTTATGTAACCATGAAGTCCCTTGACCATGAGTGTTTTTCTTTCCTTAGACAAATGCCTTCCCGAAAACAAAAAGAAAGCTATGTTCTTAGAATTATCACACTTTCTTCATTGAAGGATCCATTTTCTCAAAAAGGTTATGTAAGTATTGTTAATGTATCCATGGAAATTGAATTTGGTTTACCTACACGTTTTGTGTCGGTAATGGATATGTATAGATACCAATCATAACTGTACACTTTGTTTTCAGACTAACCAAGCCTCGTAATGAGACGGTGACCTCCTATTTGCTTAACACAATATCTGCAATACAATGTGAACAATAAGTCCACATTTCCACGATGTTGATAAAGACGACATTGTGTGTAAGTGTTTTACTGTTTCCCCTTCCTTGTTTGACGTTACTGTGACTTGCGTTTGATTTTTATTCATATCACTCTTTTGATTGTTTTCTAGCGGCCTGTAAGACTTATTATGAGATGGTTCGCAGGAGCCATCAAAATGCCAAGCCAGAAAACTCAATGAGGGCGGATGTGGCGAAGAGTTCAGCTCAGAGTCGAGCGAGAAGAAAGAGGGTAAGACTAAACTGCATCGCACAGTAAGGCAAGGGAGGTTTATTTGTGTAGCACAATTCATACACAAGGAAACTCAAAGTGCTGAGCAAAAGAAAGCATTAAATAATCACAGTACATCAACAAAGATAAATATAAAATCCCTCAGTTGTAGCACAGCTAAAGTGAGACAGGCCTCCTCTCTGACAATGTTTAAAACCAGGTTAAAAACAGTTCTGTTTAGCTGTGCTACAACTGAGGGATTTTATATTTATCTTTTTTAATGTACTGTGATTATTTATTTTAATGCTTTCTTATTTTGCTCAGCACTTCGAGTTGCCTTGTGTATGAATTGTGCTAGTCAAATAAACTTGCCTTACCATCGTACTTCCTGGTTCTGGTTAGGACTTGAGCTGCTGCATTTTGAATGTACTGCGGCTGTTGTGGCAGTAGTCTAACCTACTGGAGACAAATGCATGGATAAGAATCTCCAGGTCTGCTTTAGACACTATGTTTTTGATCCTGGCAATGTTTAGATGGGAAAAAAGATTTGATGTTGCTAATAATATTTACTGATTCTTTCAGCTGGTGGAATCGAGACTGAGTGTGCTAGAAAGTGACAAAGTGGAACTCTGAAAGTGTGCCACGGTAGACCTAATGTCCAATGAAGAAGAAGGCGTTGTGGACGGTGTCTCTGGGTGGATTGTGCGGTCGCCGTCTTTTCGAAAGCCGGAGTTTTCTGAACTCTGTCAAGCTGCAGTCCCGGTTAGAGGCGGCGCGGAAGTACAGAGCCACGCACATTAAGCGTCTCTCTAGAACCCTGCCAAATTACAACCCCGAGGAGGCTATTGGACAGTTCAGAGTTGTAATTTTTTAATTACCTATGTGTGAGCATAAAGCTGTGTGTGTGTGTGTGTTTTAATAAAGATTTCTTTGTATGAACATATTCCTGGAAAATTTTCATTTCCTCTATAGATAATATGATTAAATATATATTTATATGAATATTATTTAATTAATTATGAGGCAGGGTGACCAATAGTGACAGATCTGCTAGCCAATCCTGAGAGATTATACTTATTTGAAAGTAGTGATTTCATCAGAATCAGAATCATTTTTATTGCCACGTAAGTAACAGGAGGTCACAGACTAGGAAATTGCTTTGGCTCAGTGCAACAGTCAAAAAGAGATAATGAAAATAAGAATAAAAAAACACTTCTAAAGAATAAATTTAAAATAGAGTTACAGTTACTATTTACAATATACAAGTGCACATGGTGCACACAATGTAAGGTGACAGCAGTACAGTGAAGTAAAGTGACGTATGATGGGCAGTAAAGTGACTTTATAAAGGGCGGGGGGACAGGTTAAGAAGTGTTCAAGAGTCCAACAGCAGAGGGGAAGAAACTGTTCTTGTGGCGGGAGGTACTAGTCCTGATGGACCGCAGCCTCCTGCCTGAGGGGAGTGGATGGAATAGTCCATGTGCAGGGTGAGAGGGGTCGGCTGTGATACGACCAGCCCGGCCTCGAGCTCGGGCGACGTACAGGTCC